GATCGTAAGGATGATGAGGATGATGTAACATTGTCAATGTAATCGTAACAATAATTTAATAATGTACTAATAGTATAATAATAGTAATAATTCAATAATTAATACTATTAATAATTATTATTAATTATTAATTAAATAATGTAAAAATAGCCATGCCATAATAGCAATAATATAATAATGTAGCAATAATAATGTAATAGTAATAACAATAATTAAAGAATGTAACAATAGTCATATATTAATAGTCATAATTAAATAGTGTAGCAATAATAATAATAATAATAATGTAATATAATAACAATAATTAAAGAATGTAACAATAGTCATATAATAATAGTCATAATTTAATAATGTAGCAATAATAATAATAATGTAATAAAATAGCAATAATTAAAGAATGTAACAATAGTCATATAATAATAGTCATAATTTAATAATGTAGCAAGAATAATGTCATAATAATAATCTAATAGTAATAACAATAATTAAATAATGTACCAAGTCATATAATAATAGTCATAATAATAATGTAATAGTAATAACAATAAAGAATGTAACAATAGTCATATAATAATAGTCATAATTTAATAATGTAGCAAGAATAATGTCATAATAATAATCTAATAGTAATAACAATAATTAAATAATGTACCAAGTCATATAATAATAGTCATAATAATAATGTAATAGTAATAGCAATAAAGAATGTAACAATAGTCATATAATAATAGTGATAATTCAGTAACGAAGCAATAATAATGCCATAATAATAATGTAATAGTATTAATATTAATTAAATAATATAACAATGGTCATATAATAATAGTTATAATTCAATAATGTAGCAATAATAATGCATAATAATAATGTAATAGTATTAATATTAATTAAATAATATAACAATGGTCATATAATAATAGTTATAATTCAATAATGTAGCAATAATAATGTCATAATAATAATGTAATAGTAATAACAATAATTAAATAATAGAAAGAAAGGGAGGGGAGAGAATAAAGCGAGGAGAGAGAGGAGAGAGAGGAGAGAACAGAGGAAAAGTGAGAAAGAAGAGAAGAGAGGGGGGAGGGGAAATAAAGAGAGTGAAGAGAGGGAGAAAGGAGAGAGAAAGGGAGCGGAGAGAATAAAGAAAGGAAAGAGAAAAGAGAAAGAAGAGAGAACAGAGAACAGAGAGAGAAGAAACATAGAAAAGAAAGAGAGGAGAGGAGAAAGAGATTACGAGAGAGAGAAGTGGGAGGAGAGAGAGTGAAGAGAGGAAGAAAGAGAGAAGAGAGAGAGGGACGAGAATAAAGAGAGGCGAGAGAAAGAGAAGAGAGGAAGAAGAGAGAAGAGAACAGGGAGAGAGCGAAGAGAGCTCCTCCAATTCTCTTGGCTATCTCATCACACAAGAGAACGAATCCACTTCGAATCCGGTTTCTGCTTCCTGCAGAATTCTGGGCTTTGTAGTTTAGGGAGGAGCCTTTAACAGCCTCGCTAAACTACAAACCCCAGAACTCTGCAGGAGGATACACTCCAGATTTTTCTTTATTATTATCATTATATTATTATTATTATTATTATTATTATTATTATTATTATTATTATTATTATTTTGGATTCTTTTTTTAGTGTAAGGAAGTAGTTGAGAGGGTCTCTCCGCTTGTGTCTCTGTCGCCTTTTCCTTCCCGAGAAGAGCGCCTGGAGCTGCGTGCCCTCCTTCGCTGGCCCTTCTCCCTTTTCCCTTCTCCTTTCTCCCTTCTCCCTTCTCTCTCTCGGCTTCTTGTTGTGTTTTTGTTTCGGAACGGCGAGCCCGTCTTGTTATGAAATCTTATTTCATCAAGTGAGTGCCTTGGCGAGTTCCAAAGGCCGGGAAGAGAAGGAGGGAGGGGAGAGCCGGGCTATAAATCCTGGGCGAAAGGAAGAAAGGGAAGAAAGTTGGAAGGGGAAAAGAGCCCGGCAGCCAGAGGCCGGCGCAGTTGAGCCAAAGAGAGAAAGAGAGAGAGAGGAGGGTGGGAAACACACACACAC